CTACTAATATTATAAATGCGAAAGTCCTGATGTTTGTTACACTTTCACGCAAAAACTACTTAACCGATCATCATGAAAATTTGTACACATATTCTTAGTGGTCCCCGAATGGTTATAGGCTACTTTTTATTTAATAAAAAAAATTATTTTTTAAATAAAATGAAGAAATTGTTTAGCCAATAATACCTCTGCATCTGGCCATTTGACTACTTTAACGCCATCTAGCATTCCAGCAATGAAGCTCAAACCTAAGTACTATAGTACCATCACACTATATTATCACACTGTATTACCGACAGCTACGTCAACATCAAATCCAATTGACTACACTATGGAGACTGTACACTATACTTCCATAGACTATACTTTCAGCCATTTTAAACTTCCCGCCATTCTACTTCATTGTTACTTCTTCTGTGACTACAGACGCGTACGGAAGCAACTTCATTATTTTAGATATTCGCGAACGAAGCCGCGGCTTAAAGCTAGTATCTGTATAAATAAAATTGAACAATCAAATAACAAGTCACAGCAATATTAGCGGTGTTATTTATGTCGCGCAATTCGTATTTCGATAAATAACGCCAAACATATTTATATCAGGTAATCATTCGGCGTGCGAGCGATAAATAACTTTCCCTCCTGCAACGAATGCAAATGCGATCGCGAGCGCTCAATCGTAAAACTTTATTGGAGTAATAATACTCGGCGCAGTCATGTAATTCGGTGTTATATTTCAAAAGCGTATCGAAAATCATAACATGACACCGATACTATTAAAAAACATTAAAAATAAAATAAAAATTCAATTTTATTTCATCCTACGATAGGATAAGCGAGAGTAATGAGTCTAACTTTTTTATTACTCAAGAAAAAAGCCTTTCTTTAGAGAAAAAAAAAAAGACGAAAAAACGGGCCTGCGGCCATTTCCGTGCACTAACAATGTATTCCGTATTTCGGCACGTCCGGGGCCAATAGGGTACAGGGTAGAAACTTCAAAGAACGTAAAATAAAAAAAAATCCAGAACATCTGCTTGTCCTGACCCCAGTTAGGCAACTTTGACAACTTTAAGGATAAGACTCCGGGTGAGATTAGGCAACTCTCAACGCGGTCGCATGTTTTATTAATTTTCGCCTAATTCTACCCCGCAACAATCTGCAGATTAAAGTGTATCCACGCTTTTATATTCCCGAAGCGTCCCAAGGGTGAAATTATGACAAGCGTCGACAAATATTTAAATTCACAGTTTAAAATTCCACTTTTTGTGTTTTGCAAGCAAAAAGTCAAGAAAACAAAACGAAAAAGATGAAAATTATGCGTGTGTAGCAGTATTTTGATGTTTTCTGCAAATTGAGCAAAGCATAAGCATGTGCACATTCACACACACACAGATTCACGGACTGTGTGTCCCAGTTTTCCTATAATAACGAGGAGAGACGCGCTCGTAATAATTGAATGTCGGTCGGTCGCCGCCGCCACGACGCAAGCAGCAGAGAGGAGAAAAAAAACGAAAATACCGCTCGTGCGTTCATACGCAACAACGCAACAATGATGATCAAGTTAAAATGTATAATGTAGCATAAAATTTTGAAGAATTTTGTAAAAAAAAAAATTAATTTGCTAATTTTTTCGGAAAAACAAAATTTATTGCGATAATCTTATTTATTATCACCTTATCGTTGGATGTAATGCCTCTGCGACACGAAATAAGTCGCTTAGGCCCTCTTCACGGTTTATTACGTAAGCGTATTACCTGATTACGGTTTGTATTTTTAGCCTTGACGACACTCAAGACTCTGCGAGGCGCGGCGCCTCCACCATCTAGACACAAATCATCCTCAAGTGCACTTTTCTTCATGTGTGAGGGTAATAAAAGCGCAGTTACTTCAACTTAATTAGAAACAGAAAATTTAACAACAAAAAAACTAAAATTTTTAATTAAAAACAGAAAAAATAAGCAAAAATAATTCGATTACGTTTTCTGCGGTTTAAATCATTCAAAACACGCAACAGAATTTTCTACGAAACGATAATCTCTATAATGTAACATTATACACAATTGTGCAACAATGTACAAAGTGATAACAACAATTAAACTGTAATGAAATGTGCGCTAGGTATGCAACCCAACACGCACAGATTTTTACGTAACTATCATGAAACTCTAACTCTAACACTACTCACGTGCAATTTACGAGTAATTTAAACTTTAAATTGAAATGTTATTTTATCATCATCAAGTCGAACGCTGGCTGTGCAATTCAATTTCTATCCAAACAAAGGAATAATTGCGCAAATTAACGCAGATTAAAGCTGCGGACAAGGGCGGCGGCGGCGGCGCGTGCGACCGGATATATTTCATAATAACTTCTCGCCGCCGCCTCGCCGTCTCGCCGCCATACACGCCATACCCCGCAAAATAAAATAAAAACGCAAACTTCCAACTAAAGCCACCCCGCAAATTACAATTAAATCCGTGGAATATTTTACTCGCAATTTATATAAAAAATGAAAAACATGCAAAAATACAACAAGTGGAGTTTAATTTTTCCACCGTCCGATACTGTAAATATTTACATTGGCACCGAAAACAATTCTTTGTTGTGCACGCGCAAATATCAACATATTATCCTGTATATATCGTTAGGTTTCCGCAAACAAATAAATACAATGGGCAAATGAACGATAATCGCGCATTAAAAATCCAATCATGTGCAAGTTTTGTAACGAGTCGCTCGGTTGGTAATGGTTTGCAAACACTAAGCGAAAACTTGTGTGTGTGTAGGCAAACACACGAATCGAAACGCGGTGCAGTTGGAACACATTTTTGCCATGTCGACATTGCGATTTAGCGAATGATTCATATTGTAAACCGGCCATAAACACATTCCGCGCATATAAACGTCAATCACAATGCACATGTGCATTCACGATAAAACGTTGCGTTTTGCAATCAATCGAGAGAAAGATATCAATCTTTTGTTGTCTTGACAAGTAATAAAATATCGATTGATCTTAAAAATATATTCATGGACATGGAGTTTACGTTTAGTAACACGAAAGAAGCAAATAACAAAACATAACCTACCTTTAACCTTTTTTAACCTCACATAACCTAACATAACCCAACTTTAACCTAATTCAACATAACCTCACGTAACATAACCTAACCTAAATCCAAAAGTTGAAAAAAATTAATTTCCAGTTTCAGTCCAAAACATTTTTGCATTTATTTCAATTTTAGCTTAGAAAAAAACGCTGATCAAATATTTTTACTTCCGTTACATGAAAAAAACCTCCCTTCCTGCTTTCCTGTATATAATTTTTCCATTAAGAGGGTGTTTGCTGAATGCGCGTACAGGTTTACTGCCGGAAAAGCCGGCGAAACGAAAAAAATATTGACCCTAACCTAGATACATCCCTAGACTAAATTGGATATCCGTCCTTTTCGCACGGGCTTTGTGCGAGGCGGGTCGCGTGCCGGCGCGCTCGTAACTACTTTACGTTAACCCTCGTGCGACGCGACGCGACCCGATATCCGATATATATCCACACGCCGGTCTTCGCCAATTCCGCTACTTTCTTGTGCATAGGCCCTGCATAGGTACCACCGTACCCCCATCCGTAATATTCGTTTACTTACGTTGCTTTACGAAGCTTTTTCGCTTCTAATAATCTAATGTGCCGCGCACGCATGATGGATACGCAATCTTTACGACCCAATCATATTTTGGCTATCAATCACGGAAAATCTTATACAGGGTGATGAAAATCACCACAGGAAGAAAAAAATTAATTTTTTTATTTAAAAAACTAGCTTTAACCCGCGGCTTCGCTCGCGAATATCTTAAATAATGAAGTTGCTTCCGTACGCGTCTGTAGTCACAGAAGAAGTAACAATGAAGTAGAATGGCGGGAAGTTTAAAATGGCTGAAAGTATAGTCTATGGAAGTATAGTGTACAGTCTCCATAGTGTAGTCAATTGGATTTGATGTTGACGTAGCTGTCGGTAATACAGTGTGATAATACAGTGTGATGGTACTATAGTACTTAGGTTTGAGCTTCATTGCTGGAATGCTAGATGGCGTTAAAGTAGTCAAATAGCAAGATGCAGAGGTATTATCGGCTAAACAATTTCTTTATTTTATTTAAAAAATAATTTTTTTAATTAAATAAAAAGTAGCCCATAACCATTCGAGGACCACTAAGAATATGTGTACAAATATTCATGATGATCGGTTAAGTAGTTTCTGCGTGAAAGTGTAACAAACATCAGGACTTTCGCATTTATAATATTAGTAGGGATGTTAACGTTTTGAAAATTGTAGTTTATGCATACAATTGATTTTCCGAGTTTTCCAAGCGCGCGTGCACGCTCAGAATTCGCGCCAAGGTTAATAGCGACCCATTAAAAACCAATGTTTTGCATTCGTTTTGCATCGGTTTACGTGGCTGGGTCGGAAGCCTCACAAAACCCACCGCCTCCTTCTGCCCTTATTAATATCACAGTTTATTTCTCCTCCTGCGCTCATTTTTAATGTAATTACTTTCTAATTTCTACCGACTGTGATCATTAATCAACTCTATTGTGTTCATAATTGATATTAATACACTTGGCATAAATGAATACGTTAAACTCTTCGACTGTAAAATTTTTACGGCGTTGTAGGTTGGAGATTTTCACGTGACATAAATATATAAATGTTTGTGCTTCCGCACGCGTACGCTAGGGGCTAGGAGCAGTAAAAGTATGCCAAGTTTGCGCGAAATCGGCAGCATGTGCCCGATAAATTTAAACTCGCGACGTACCCGACGACGACACCGACGACGCCGCCGCCGCCGGAAAAAAATTCACGTATTATGAATTTTTAAATAGCAACACGCCGGCCTCGACTTACGCCTATTTGGCAAAGAGACACCCGAAGCGGCTGTCGTCAGCGACTAAAAATACACACAAAAAAGGCCCTTGAGGAAAACCCCATTCGCATGCGGGACTTACTCAGATTCATTGTTGTCGAAGACGACATGACCCTCGGTGGTCTCGTACTCCTTGCCGGCCTTAGCGGTACCATCCTGCGTCCAATAGGGGATGATGACACGCCCACGTGCGCCTGAACACCTCGTCACTACCAACTCATAGGTGCCCACGCTTTCAACCAGCTCGAAATCACGTTGGGGGAACTTGAAGACACCGCCATGGTCATCATCCAAGATAACCACAGTGGCCAATGTAGGAGATCCCAAGGAATTCGGAGGTTGTGAACCCTTCAGACGCACGTAAAAGTGCTCATCTGCTTCAAACACATCATCATCAATCACCTCCAAGGTCAATCGTTTTCTTTATCTCCAGGACCAAAATGCAAGGTGCCCTTGGCTGCGATGTAATCACTACCTGCAGTGGCAGTACCATCCTCTGTACAGTATTCTACTGATAGAGGTGCGTCTAGGTCTCCGGATCGGGAAACCCTCACGTCGAAACTACCACAACTCTCAAGGACCGTATAGGTGGCTGGTTCAAAGTACGCTTTGCAACCAAGTGGGTTGAATTCAGCTACACCTGATTCTCGACGGACCTCAGCCTTCACTTCACTGAGATCACTCTGGGCGCGTTCGGAGATACGCTTGAGGAGATCCCCGCTTCCCATCAGTTTACGCGTGGCCTGGATACGGTAGAATGCGCGGGACTTTGGGCCACGGTTCAGTAGCATTTCATGAGCCATGCGTTCGAGGGACTCTAGATCGCAATTTGGGTGCAGGGCACGCAACTCTTTCAGAGTTATAATATACTCTTGTTTGATCTCTTCATGAACATCATCGTAACCCATCAAAGAGGAATTACCACCCATCTCCATGGCTTCGGTTTCTACCATCACACCTCGGGCATTCATGCGGTAATCCTTACTGATGTATTTGTACATTCTACGATCAGCCGCGTAGGCTGTGAAGACCGTAGCTGGGAAGAACATGAATGTTAACAGAGCTTCCCAGATTTCTACCTCGCCAGGAGAGATAACTGCCAGGATTAAGTAGAGCCACACATAGGCAAAGACTGACCACGTGGCTGTAACGAAGAAGACCCGCAGATGTTTGATCTTGCGCACCTCGCCGTTGGGTATCACAAACACGCAGATGGCGATGATCACGAAGAGGTTATAAGCAGCTGAACCCACAATGGTACCAGGACCTAAGTCACCCGCTTGGAAACCCTTCGCCCAGATCTCAATCACCGAGAGGAGGATCTCCGGCGCGCTGGAACCCAACGCCATGAGGGTGAGATTCGCCACCGTTTCATTCCACACGCGCACGACGACAATCTGCCGATCGCCATTACCCTTCCGCACGCGCACCTCGCGCTCCTGCGACGTGATCACTTCAATAGCGGCCATGAACCGATCCGAGATGATGGACACCCCAATGAAGAGGTAAACAAGCGCAATGAAGTACACCGACCCACGGATGATCTTTTCAAATGTGGAGACATCTTCCAATGGCATCCAGCAGGGTAGTAGAAGACCTTCGGCGCAGTCAATGACTGATGAGGTGGAAGCAGCAGCGGTGGCATTCGCCAGCATCGTCACGTTGTCCGCCGCGGGGTCCGACATCGCGCAGCACGCACCGTAGGCCTACCCCACTAAAGTTTAAATTGGCGAGAATGACAGAAAGAGAGAAAGATAGGGGGTGGGCGTTAGAGGAATTTGTTGCGCGATAGCCGGGAGAGAATGAAAACACACGCCGCGCGTCCTGCTTCTCACCGCCGCATGCCGCGACACACACACCGCACCTGCACGCGCACTCTCTGCTGCTGCTGCACTAACTAACGGCCGGGGCGGAACTGAAACGCGCGCGCGGCTGCTGCTGCTCGGCGCCGCCGCCGCCGCCACCGCCACCACTCCCCGGGGTTCACGCACTCGCGCGCGCCCGCTTATCAAACCGGCATAAACAAACCAAATCCGCTCGCTAAATAAAGACAATGAACGCGCAACGCAACGCCTATTCACCTATTATTATAATTTCGCTATTAAAAACCGTAAGACGTTGTCTGCGAGCCAACTCATTTTTATTTAGGCACCGGCGGCCCGGCCGCAACAGCTTACACACGCACCACACATTGGATAACTTAATAAAATTACTGCAAACGTTTTGTTTGCGCTCTTTCAACGCATCCACACACACACCTACATCATCACATCATCGACGCAAACGACGTTTGACTCACTGCACACGATGTAACTTTTATAATTGTCATTGTTAATGCTAATCAACTCTCACGCACCGTCCGGCTACGGATGGAAACACCCACAGAATAACGCACAAGTTGATTTTGCATTCAATACACGCTCAAGGTCGATCACACCGTTGCAATCCACAATAATATCAATATTTACCAAACACTATCGAAAAACATTGTATTTTCACTCATTGGATACATTATTCAGTATCGGATGTAAATGTATTATTAAAATAAGTATTGGTTTGGATTTGAACATTTTTTCTAAATGATTTTTCATGTTTGATTGTGAATACACGTTTGTAATTGCGCGCGGAAGCGTGCGCTTCATGACGACATGCGTCAATCACAGCGTGTTATCATTGTAACCGCCACACGAATCATAACTGTTGCCGCTGATTGTCGCTACACGTTTGCGGGGCGATCCGCTTCACCGCATCAATAATGATTTAATGACTTTGCGGCACATTGCATCAACCGCACTCATGGTGACAATTAAATTGATTTATTAAGAGAACAGTTTGATGTGGCACTCAAAATTGTTTCATCAAGTGTTTTATCAGAGTATTTCACTACCTGCGCATGCGTAAAATCATTTGATTGCTTTAAAGTGAGGTTATGTTTGTTTTCTTGCTACGCCACTGGAATTTAAAGTAATATCAATGTCAATGTTTCTTTTTATTGAGTCAATGACTGTTTAATTACCAATACGGCAGTTGCGCATGCGCTTTTCGTTTGATTGCTTTAAATTGAGGTTATGTTTGATTTTTTGGTTACGCCACTGGATTTTAAAGTAATATCAATGTCAATGTTTTTTCTTTTGTGTCTATGACAGTGTAATTACCAATATGGTTGTTACGCATGCGCATTTTATTTAATTTTCTTTAAATTGAGGTTATTTTTGATTTTTAGCTACGCCACTGGATTTTAACGTAGTATTAATGTCAATGTCTTTTTACTTTTGTGTTAATGACACTTTAAATACCAATATGGCCGTTGCGCATGCGCATTTTATTTAATTTTATTTAAATTAAGGTTATGTTTGTTTTCTTGCTACGCCACTGGATTTTAACGCAATATCAATGTCAATGTTTCTTTCCTTTATGTATTTAAGCAATTTCTGATAAAATTTCGGTGTTGGTAAACGTACAAAGTCTTGTATGTTGTGTTGATTGTGGTGATTTTGCGGTAGGCAGTAATCTAATTGCAACAAGTCTCGCCGAGGAAAATTTCCGTCGAGGGCGTGCATTAATCAAATTTCTTTCGCTTGCTGCGATGCGCAGTTCCGGCGGTGCGCAAGTTTCAATTCAATTATTTACTTGTTCTGCAATCGGATGCAAATCCGCGCGCAAAACATAAACTCAAACAAACCGACAAAAGCAAAAACTCTACAAACCCACGCCTGATTATTATTAAAGGACGAGTGGCGCTGAGTGTCATGTTAGCTTGTGACACGGCTAACTAATTATGCACCTCATTTGAGTTTAGGCTTTCGCAGGAATTGGATTTCGGCGTGATTCGTAACTGGAAACACACCAGTCGCCCGCTGTGTAATTATTTACGCGTAAATACCTCGTCCGCTGTCCGTTTTGTTTCCGCTCGGTTGTTGTTTCCGACTTCCTGCTTGCTCACAGCAGCTAGGCGTCTATCGTGATTGATGAGTCGATGGTCGAAATGGCGGACCAAATCCAATTATAAACTAGAGACTAGAGAGCACAGAGTGCAGCTTACTGAATGACAACAATGACACCACGGAGAGTAATTAGTAAATTACCGACACGACAAAATAATATTTTTTTACTTCCGCCACGTTTTTTACGGTTTTGAAACATAAAAAGGAAATTTAGTCTCGGAAGGTCAAAACCGTGACTAAAGTACTTTAGTCACGGGTTTACTCGTGGTTAAAGTGGCATTTAGCGCACTTGATACTTAAAATACAATTTTATGTTAAATTTACAGTTTTTGGAGAATAATAGGATAAAGAGGCTTTCCAAGGTGCAGTACGAGAGGATCTTTTCTTTGGAACGTCATTCACGCTCGGATCGACAGGAAATTCCTCGGCAAACTTGGAACTATTGAACGTATAACGTATAAATGCACTGGATTCGAACTGGCGTTATTGCAAAGAGGATGATCCCGGCTTCGGATCATCCCCGAGACGTATTGTGCGCTTGTAATCCGCTCACCTACCCGAACCTTATAAAATAGAAATTATTTTCTTCTCTGATATATTTTCTAAAATAATAAAACGTGTGTAAAATGTGATTTTGTGTGAATCGAGTTGAACACGCAATATGCGAGTGAATTATGACGATATTACACGCGTATTATTGAGTGTCCTCTTGGGACTGACTATCCGCTGTAGTGAATGAGCGGGTGGAGTGCGAGCGCCGAGGGTGTTAATTGCTTTAGCGGCGCCAAGCCACTAATGCGACGTAATTAAAACTCGCCGAAAATTCGCACGGGACCTTATATTAAACACTCGGAATCTCATTATGATTCAAGAGTGAGCGTTCATCGCATATATTCGACTACATCTACACCTTCGAGAGATGAGTGAATAAGGGCGACGAAGTTAATTAAACATTACAATCTTCGAAGATGTTCACATCTATATTATGGCATTAATCAAATTGTTGAACGATGGAAATAATAGAATATTCTTCGATATTTAGAAAGTGATTATCTTCTATACCAAAACCGATAGGTAAAAACGAATTGAAGATTTTTAATTTACCGATAATTATCGATTAGATACGATATTAAAATGTATAATACTGCATTAAATTTGCTATGAAATATAAAATGCATCTTTGTGTTTCGTGTTTATTACAAAGAACGCAATGTAAATATACTTGTTTTGTCTGATTATTTGCTTATCATAAGATAGCAGATGCTAGAGTTTACATAGAAACTAGTATAACTTCACAAACAACTCACCGATACTATCAAATCTTGTTTTGTCAACACCACGATGAATTTAATACAAATATGTGCATCCAACCGCCATCTAGCCTCAAACTAACCGATATATTTAGATAAGATGCTTGCTGCGCGCCAACTCACGCAAAGACTCAGTGTTAGTGAACACAGTGTGAGCCACACACACAGCTGGTATTTAATGCACGAATGCGACTCGTAGCGCCACCTATTGTTTCTTTGGCAAACTAATAAAACTTAAGTAAAACATATCCGTTATCTTTTCTTGTAGATAAGTTGAATGTTTGTATATAAAAACATTCAAGAACTCGGGTTTCTTTGTTTTAAAGGGGACGACAAGATATTTATGAAAATATTTAATGAACACAGTCAATGAATTTCAGAACTCTTTGTTTTCTGTCACGCTGCAGCTTGTAATACCTTACGTGACAACCGCATCAACCCGGAAACAGGATCCCTCCCAAAATATTTCACCTGCATCTCATTGCCAACTTCCAGCCCCAAAGCAGAAGGATGTGCCACCTATTAATAAACAAAATCATCAACTTTCAAAAACACAAATATCATAAACACAAAATTACTTTTCGTTGATCCAACTGAGAATTATGCAGCAATGCAGGCGGCATTCCTGGATACAACGTGACCATTACCCCAATATCCCTCAATTCAACAATTGTCGCTGGATAAATACCACCAAACTCCAATTCTGGTGTCCTCTCCGTAGTCAAAAACTTATTAATAATTTCTTTCGCTTCGTCCATGGCGTGTTGATTCGGTGCAAAGATTTCAAACGTGGTGTCATCAATTTGATTTACTTGCACACCAGTTTCAACGAACAATTTCTTCAGATTAATTCCACCTATACCTAATAGTTTAGCGCGTTTGTGCGCTTCGACTTCTAATTTTTGACTAACAGGCATGTTATCCTTCTTTTCAGAGCGCGGTTTATCAATACAATCATGCATTATGTCTAAAATTTTACTCTTGGCATCAGTGGCTTTTTGGAGGGCTTCCATGACAACTTTCAGGGGTAAACCAGGGATTTTGATGTCTGCTTGAAGAGCAGTTATACCTTTTCTGGTTCCTGCGATTTTAAAAGTCCATATCACCCATGTAATCTTCAATTCCTAGTAAATCAGTGAGGATTTTATAGTCTTCCATGTGTTTTGTATCTTCTTTATCGTATTTTGAGATTAGACCGATTGCAACACCAGCTGCTGGTGCACTAATTGGTACACCAGCGTCCATTAGAGCCAAGGAACCAGCACAAACCGTAGCCATACTGCTTGATCCTTTAAAATATTAAGTTTCAATGTTTTTTAATAAAATTTTGTTTGTTTTTATTTACCATTTGATTCTAAAACCTCTGAAGTTAATCTTATAGTGAAAGGATAATCAGCAGGCACTATAGGAGTCAAAGCCTTCTCTGCAAGTGCACCATGTCCAATTTCCCTTCGTCCTAGAGGTCCTACCCTGCCAGTTTCCTTAGTTGCAAATGGCGGAAACTCATAATGAAGGAAAAAGTTCTTTTCTTTAACACCACTGCGAAAATAACAATTAAACATAACATTTTACTCAATAATTTAATGTTTTACCTTGTTAACATGGCGATTGAATCCATTTTCAATGCACTTTGAGGTGAATCCAAAGCAACAGTCGCAAAAACCTGCGTCTGCCCACGTTGAAACACAGAACAACCATGCAAAGGTTTATACATATTCACCTGGCATGAAATATTCCGCAAATCATCAAAATGGCGCCCGTCACAACGCAGTTCATCCTCTAAGACTAGATTTCTGAATACCGCTTTGATAATCTTACCAATACCATCCGCAATCAACGTAGCATCAACACTAGGAAAATCTACGCGTATTTTTTCCATTACATCATTACGCACATCGTTTATAGCATTATCACGTTGAAGTTTATCATAAGTTGTGTTCATAAAAATTTCCCTCACGCGCATTTCGGTTAAAACCCGTAAGGCTTCCAGAATTTCACTGGATAACTCCACAGGCGGTTCAAAAACGCGTTTTTTCTTACCGGTAACTTTTGCAAGTGTTTCTATAGAATGAATTACACTCTGTGCTTCTTTCGTGCCTAATTTAATAGCTTTCTGAAGATCCTGTAGAAGAATATTATTCGCGTTGCCTTCTAACATAACAACTAGATTTTGTTTCGTTGCTGTTACGATTAAATTGAGCAAAGATCCTTGGAGTTCTCTTCGTGTGGGATTAAAAAGTACTTCGCCGTCGATCATACCAACCCTGACTGCTCCAACTGGTCCATTCCATGGAATATCACTGATTGCCAACGCTGCAGATGCGGCGTTGATTGATAAAACGTCAGGATTATTCACGGAATCAACTGCTAACATATTACAGATAATTTGTGTCTCGAAATTAAACCCGTCTGGAAATAAAGGACGTAATGATCGGTCGATTACACGAGATGTTAGAATTTCTCGGTCGGTAGCGCCCATTTCTCGCCGGAGGAAATTCGTTGGAATTCGGCCGGCTGCGGCGGATTTTTGACGATAATCAACAACCAATGGAAGAAATGAACTTGGTGATGGTTTTGTTTTTGATACAGCTGTTACCATTACTGAAGTGTCACCTAGAGTTGTAACTGCACAGCCATCAGACATTTTTGCATACATTCCAGTTGAAATTTTCATATTTCGCCTGCAAATTAACATTTTATCAATAAAAAATATAAACATTTAAAATATCATACATAAAATAAAATGAAATAGTGTTCTAATACACTTTATACCTAATATTATGCTTAATAATACTAAATTTATTTGTTTATTACCCATTTGAAAAAGGAACATCAACTTCTTCAGCAGAAAGCGCACTTTTATGCAAAGTTTTCCTATGATTTAACATGTGTTTCAGTCTGATTTTCTGCAGCACTTTGGTGTATTTACTACTATTAAACATTTTGTTGTTTGTTTTATTAATACACTATTATTATATAAACTATTATTTGTTTTTTGGCTCTCAGAAACTTCGGCCTAGAGATGAATATTTTCTGAGGTTAGAACATGCGCAAGTCTTAATAAATTTAAACATACAGCATGTCTCTAGATAATAAAATCGTTAAACAAGCGACTTTTACTTATTAAATGAATGTTTAATTACATAATTTCGTTTAGAAACTAATGCGTCAACTCTCTCTTTGCATAGAAATCACTATACACAACAAATTCTTGTTCCCAATCGCATTTTTCCTTATATTTTGAGGCTAATCTGGCACAGATTGACCAAACACAGCTGTTTGCTGATAATTTCCAAATCATTCGCTTGTTCCTTACGGACATGATGTGATATCGAAGTCGTATAAAATGTAAACACAGTGGTTTTCCTGCCGTAATTTAATTTAAGGTAACGGGTTTAGTAACTACCATCGAGGACAGCGAATTGCGCCTCGTAATCGTAATCTATTCATGCGTTGAATTAAATGTTGCTGGAACGAATCAGCGAATCTTAAGGTTATTAAATTTGCTTTTTGTTCATTATTTTAGAACGTATTGATCTAAAGTTTTGGAATAGACGGTTTAGTTTCAAGAATGGCTCAAAGCTGTCCACTTCTGCAGAGGATCTTGGCTTCATCAGTGACTGCAGCTGCCAGGGCTGGGAAAATCATTCGAGATGTGATGAGTTTGGGTGAATTGGGCATTGTTGAGAAGGTAATGTATATATATCACCTAACAACTAGTTTTAAATATGAAAACTGGAAACAAAACTGAACAAAACTGGATTTAAAAGATAATTCTGTTCAAAACTCTTTAAAAACTTACAAAAATTGATGCAGGGTAAAAATGATCTGCAAACTGAAGCTGACCGTTCAGCGCAACGATGCATCATGGCAAATCTAAGCCAACAATTCCCTAAAATTGCGATTATCGGCGAAGAAGGGCCTTCCAATTGCGAGGTACCAAGCGATTGGGTAACTCTCGAGCAGGATCAAGACGTTTTAACCAAATTATGTCCCAATGATTACATGAAAGTTGCTGATGAGGATATTGTGGTCTGGGTAGACCCGTTAGACGGTACTTCTGAGTACACCCAAGGACTTCTTGAGCACGTCACGGTCTTGATCGGCATCGCTGTCAAGGGTAAAGCAGTCGCCGGAGTTATCCATCAGCCGTACTACAATTACAAACAAAATCAACAACAATGTAAAACTGATAATAATCTAGGAAGGACACTCTGGGGACTTGTTGGTATGGGTGTTGGTGGGTTTACACCCATCAATCCACCACAAAATGGTTTGGTAGTGGCCACAACGCGCTCACACTCTGATAAAATGGTACAAATGGCGCTGGACGCCTTAAAACCACAAGAAATCATCAAAGTGGGCGGTGCTGGTTATAAGGTAATAAAAAAACATAAAATTTATAAAATATTTAACAGAATATCTGCGTAGGTTATGCTTTTGATGGAAGGAAAAGCAAACGCGTACGTTTTCGCTAGCAAAGGTTGTAAGAAATGGGACACGTGCGCGCCGGAAGCCATTTTGACAGCCATTGGTGGTAAACTGACAGATGTACATGGTGAATACTATTGCTACGACGCCAATGTACAGTATCCGAATAAAGGAGGAGTTTTCGCAACGGCAAAAGGCGTGAATCATGGCGAATTATTAACCAAGTTACCGCAGGAAGTACGCGACACTCTGGTGTAATCTGAATAGTACCAAGCCTTCCAATAATTATGTGGAAACATTCCTTATTCCTACTTATTACGGCCTACTGTAGCAGTTAACTTTAAGTTGTTAATGTAATATACATAAACTTGGACCCACCAAACAAACGCACAATTGTAATATCCAATATTTAATGTAAGAATTGTATGAAAGACTGACGGAAATATAAAAGCATGTTAAATGTGTTGAAACTTTTGTTGTTTCTTTGGTAGAAGGAAAAACACTGAATGTGAAAAATTGGGCAAAGCACGCCAATAATTTGATTCTAGTTGTGTGTGTTGGTAATTAAATAGGAAACGTGTTTGACTTTTAGCGATTTCCATCAATAACACAGCGCATCGTGCGTGTGAACGCCTGCACGCGATGCTTTAACGACATTCCATAGATTAATTCATCTGATTGATGATTGATGAATGAAATACAAGCGCAATTAACCCGAAATGCGATGTACACAAAAGTCTATCTTGCAATCACTCACCAAATTGTACAAATCGTCCTGGCGAGACATTCGACACGCTTGAGCAGCAAAGCAACGAAGTGAAAACATTAAATTTCCACTCAGTCTTTGTACAAACATCAAAGATGTCAGTTCTTACACAGACATCCAACGCGATTATATATCTAATGTTTATAAGTTCAACAAAAGCTCAAAACATTAACTACGATGCTTTTAATACTTCCAGCACGATAGATACTGCAACAGCAACAGCTTGTTTAACAAATTTAACACGAGAAGCCTTTGGAATTAATAAACTCATCACCATTTTGGATTGTAACATAACCAAAGAACCAGGCTTTACAATTCTAACCAATCAAATGGCTATCCTGCATAAATACGCAGAGAAAAACATCCGGAGCTTTGAGATAACAAACGGAACACGAAATACATTCCCATCTTTTGAAACTTGCATTGCAAATTGTGATTCCAAGGTGCAAAAGAAGCGAGTTTACAAGAAAAAGTTTAATACATTAAGAAAAAACCAAATCTACTTGGTTTTTATTGATAGCATTGCTGATTATGAAGCAAATATGTTCAAAATACAAACAATGGTTCCCTATAATATGTCAGCAGAGTTTTTTCTGTTTTACACAAATGTACCGAATGATACAAGAGCCACAGCGTTGGAAATATTACAGATAGCGTTCGATCAGAGTAAATTCACAACAAAACTAATAATTCCCATTGAAAGGGATGTGTTTTACCTGTATAACTTCAATTTATACCCAAAAGAGAAGAAATATTGCGCGGCGCACCCCATGTTGACCTTAATCAACACCTGTTATCATGGTGTCTTCACCAAAAGAGTTTACCGTAATAATTATGACTTCTCCCGGTTGAATTGTACAATACCTGTGATTATGATGGAGATCCCACCGTTTGTAATCACTCCAAACGATGGCCTTGAAGTGTTAATCTTGAAAGAATTCGAGAGGCGTCTGAATGTGACATTTGAGAAGTCAATGAATAGCATGTCTGGCTCCTGGGGCATGAAACAACCCAATGGGACTTGGTCAGGACTCCTGGAACAGATATACATCGACCCGTTTAATATTGGCGTTGGGGCTGTATCGCTAAAGGAAGACCGATTGATTGATTTTGATTATACGACGGATTACTTTTCAGAATCCATGTTGTTTGTGGTCCCCACTGCGGATAGAGTTGAAGAATGGAAGTTGATCATGATTATCTTCAGTTGGTCAACATGGCTGGTCCTGTTTATTCTTTTCGTTGTGATTAGTGTGTTGATTTGGATTGCGAGCAATGTTGAAGAGTTGGTTACAGCTGATGATCGAAACTTAACCACGTTTGGCAGCGCCATGTTGTTGTCCTTGCAGGTAGCCATTGCTTTTGCAGTTGACAAGCAGCCACGTGCATTGGCGAACCGGATGTTGTTTATCACCTACGCGTTGTTTATTATTATAGTTTCGTGTTTGTATCAGAGTGCTTTGATTGATATTTTGACGAATCCGCAGTATCAGCATCAAATTAAAACTTACGAAGAGGTTGTTGATGCTTCGATACCTCTTGGAGGTAGTTCAGAGTATCGAGAAATCTTTAATGAATCAGATAAAGTGTTGTATGATAAATATGTAATATTATCAGGCGAAAATGCTGTATATCAGGTTGCAAAAGGCGCGTTTATAACGATTTCTGGTGAATTTTACGTGAAATTCATTTCGGGGACACCGGAAGTTACGCATCAAGATGGCACCTCTAAAATCTACGTCATATATGATGATGTGGTGTATATTGACACTTTTCGAATTGTTTTCTCGAAGAATTACGTCCTGAAGAAACAGTTTGATGATATTATTGATGGATTACTCACCGCTGGATTTATTGCGAAGTGGACACAATATTATACTAATCAATATCGGCCTGCTGATTGGAAACCAATGGATTATGAAAAAAGCACATCGAATGATGTTGTACTCACCATGCGCCATTTTGAAGGCTCGTTTGCTTTACTTCTCTTTGGTTTGGTTTGCGGACTGATTACGTTTGGTCTCGAGTTGATCCTGTACAAATTTAACAAAGAAAAGCGTAGATATTTAATCCAACGTCGATGGAAGAAGATATTAGTTGCTAGAAGAGTGTTTAATCGTAGATTTTTACACTGATTTGACGTTTTGAAATAAATGAATAAATGTAAAACTTTGAATGTTGTAATATGCAACCCAATATACACCTTTGAGCGTAGTGACTGGGGCGGGAGATTGCGCTGTGGTCGGTATGGTGCTGGTGGTGCTGGTGGCGCGTACGTCATCGCAAGGTATTCTGGGAGGAGCTGTAGTTGATTTGTCTCGCGCGCGGCCCGACCTTCGTGTCACGTCTGTCAAGATGTTGGTCGAGTGCGTCCCCCATGTAGCTGGTTAATTGTGTAATCGGAGCGTGTCCTGGGTGCTGCTGGGTGTGCGCCATGTTTACGGGAACGGTGTTCGTGAAGCTGTGCGAGGCGTCCGGCCTACGGCCGACCGACTTTCAGAAGCGATGGACGTTCGGCAAGCCCGACGAGCAGCTGATCGACCCGTACGTAACCATAGACGTGGACGACTCGCATGTGGCGCAGACATCCGCCAAGCCGAAGACGTTCGATCCGGTGTGGAACGAGGAGTTCGAGCAGCAGGTGGAGAACGCCAAGGCGCTCACGCTCACCGTCTTCCACAAGACGACCATCCCGCCCGATCAGTTCGTCGCCAATTGTTGTATACCCATTGAGGACCTGCTCAGCAAGGAGAAGGAGGATCAGGACTTCTGGGTCAATCTCGAGCCGACGGGACGGTTACACATTCGCATTGATCTAAAAACATCCAATGGTGAGTGCGTTGCGACGAGACGACTTCGATTGTTTCGCCATCAATCATTTGACCTAGATTGAATTGTTAGGCATACTTCTTTCTCAATAGGCAACCCAATATACACCATTTAGGTTAAGAACAAGTTGCTATTTTGAATTTTAAAATTTGCAATGAAATTTCTTTTAGCCGACTGCCATCATGGCGCAAAACCACGTGAATTCAAGGAACGTCAGGGTTTCAATCGGCGCCGCGGCGCAATGCGACGTCGCGTTCACCAAGTCAACGGTCACAAGTTTATGGCGACTTTCCTCCGACAGCCGACATTTTGTTCACACTGCAAGGAATTTATTTGGTAAATTAACACATTATGCTCAAATATAACACTGATAGAATACTGCTTATGCGCTTCAGGGATAGTTTTTGACACACTTGTGCTTGTTATTAACCATTTTATACTCCAGTATTGCTTGTGAAAAGTAACAATGGTTTTGTTCCAGGGGTTTGGGCAAGCAAGGCTATCAGTGTCAAGGTAATAAGATTACTGTGTCTTACAACTAAACAATACGATGGTGTTTTTGCTCTCTCCTACTTCTTTTTGCATGTTTGCTGTTGAAAAACTGTATATATTGGTGTTCTTCTATCGGTACACACGAAAACTCACTGAAAATAATCATAACCTGGACAACAAGATGGGTTGCATACAACTTTCACTTAATTTCAACAAGATTCAAGACGAACAACAACTACACACAGATTTATTAAATATTGTATTTTCATTTGCAGCATTTTCAATCCCAGCATGGCTGTCTCGTATGCTTTTTAATTTACGTTTTTTTGTAAGTTAATGCCTTTTATATTATTATTTTTGATTTATTTCTATTTATTCAATTGACACTCGCGCATATTAATATCGTTGTGATGTTCTTCAAACGGATATTAATTTTAATCAATTTCAAATTATCTAACCCGATTTACTGTATTATGTACATATTTGTTGGTATATCGTGGTGAAATTCTGTTTTACTTGTGTTCAGTGTGCACCTGCGTTGTTCACAAAAGATGTCATCTTCTGGTGCTAACAAAATGTCCGGGAATGAAGGATGAGGTAAGGATTTCATCAATAATTCCCTCAAAAATATGAAAAACACCAACACTGTTTGTTTCTAGTCGACCAATCAAAGCACACGCTTCAGCGTGAATGTGCCCCATCGATTCGAGGTGCACAATTACAAACGATTTACGTTCTGTGATCATTGCGGCTCGCTACTCTACGGTCTGATAAAACAGGGCCTGCAATGCGCCTTGTGCAATCTGAACGTGCACAAACGCTGTCAGAAGAACGTCGCCAACAATTGCGGTACAAACACCAAGGATCTGGCCGAAGTGCTCGCGAAGATTGGCGTTTCACCCGACAAACAGGCACCTATCAAGGGGACCTATCTTCGCGCGAGTGGTAATGGCGGCACATCTGTTGGCGGCGAGGAACCGCCCGGGGGATGTGAAGATACGAACGCACAAGAGAATTCGAAACCTCTAGATGACAAATTACATGGTAATTCATTAAAAAAATTAAATTTTTGTGTTTTTACGTGTTACAGACACGAAAAGTGACACATTAGTCACGACCGTGTCTAAAGTACTTTAATTATGTGTTTAAAGTGGCTTTTAGCGATACTTGGTACTTAATATTCCATTAATTAACGTTTTAGGAGATAAAATTGGACTGTCCGACTTCTCCTTTATCAAAGTCTTGGGTAAAGGAAGCTTTGGTAAAGTAATGCTCGCCGAAAAGAAGGGCACCGATGAGGTGTACGCCGTGAAAGTGTTGAAGAAGGATGTCATCATACAGGACGACGACGTCGATTGCACAATGACGGAGAAGCGCATTCTTGCGCTCGCCGCCAAGCATCCCTTCCTCACCGCTATCCATTCGTGTTTCCAGACCGCCGATCGACTCTTTTTCGTGATGGAGTACGTCAACGGCGGCGACCTCATGTTCCAGATTCAGCGCGCGCGCAAGTTCGACGAGCCGCGCGCGCGTTTCTACGCGGCCGAAGTGACGCTCGCGCTGCAATTTCTACACAAGCACGGCGTCATCTACAGGGACTTGAAATTGGATAATATTCTGCTGGATGCCGAGGGGCATTGCAAATTGGCGGATTTCGGTATGTGCAAGGAGGGTATACTAGATGGCGTTACAACTACGACGTTCTGCGGCACACCGGATTACATTGCGCCGGAGATTCTGCAAGAATTGGAGTATGTCGCGTCGGTGGATTGGTGGGCGCTGGGTGTTTTAATGTATGAAATGATGGCTGGACAGCCGCCGTTCGAGGCGGACAATGAGGATGATTTATTCGAATCGATCCTGCACGACGATGTGCTGTATCCGGTGTGGTTGAGTCGTGATGCCGTCAGCATACTGAAGGGATTCATGACCAAGAATCCGAGTAGGCGATTGGGTTGTGTCGCTGCGCAGGGCACGGAACAAGCGATTCGGGTTCATCCATTCTTTAAAGACATTGATTGGACTGCGTTGGAGCAGCGCAAAGTAAAACCACCGTTCAAACCTAAAATTGTGAGTCATTTTAACGATTTTTTTGATTAAAAAACACGATTTAAACATGTTTTTGTGCGAAATTTTCAGAGAAATCCAAAGGATGCACTTAATTTCGACACGGAATTCACAAGAGAAGAGCCCGTACTGACGCCCGTCAATGCCGAGGTGTTGCGTTCAATAAATCAGGAAGAGTTCGCCGGTTTTTCGTTCGTGAATCGAGATTTCAACCCTTCCCGCTTCTCTGACTAATTACGTGCAATATCATCGCTTCGCTAGAATCCATTACCAAAGATTAGTACATATTAATATACAACAATAATAAACTGTGTAAAAACACACGATTTGCGCATGCGCTACAATTTTCAACATGGTGGAAGTTTGACGCAGATTGGTTACGAAACTTGTCAAACAGCTGTCAAACTTGAGTTGATTGAAAATGCTGCGCATGCGTCAAAATCCAGCTCGAATTGTGGTCATAAAATCACAGGAAAAACATTAATTATGATCAACAATGCAATGCAACTATAAATATTATACATAGCATATAATGCGACTACCGTTAAAAAGAAGTAACAAGAAATACTAAATATATATATAAATACATTGTGTGTGGATGTATGAATGTTAAGTAAAATTTTGATGAGCAGTGTTGTGAATGCAAACAAAGAAAAAAACTAAACAAAACATGTCTAGTCGATGTCATATTAATAGGATAGGAGAATTAACGTACGTATTAAGGACATAAAATGAAACTAAATGTGAACAATGAGATCAATCTGTCAAAACACACCCACACACACATAACATAACCTACACACAAGGTACAGGGCGTTTTCTAGCTGGAACTTAACCCGGACATTGATTTCGTTCGCATCCGCAATCCTCCTCGTGTTTGGTGGGTTGCGGGCATTTATCTCGATAGTTACGTGTGCATTTGATCGATCAACTCGTGGATTATTTCTTGTGTATTCATCCGAATCTCAAACTATAGTTAGATCTCGCCCCGTATTCAAACAATGATGAGAGTACATTTCTAAGAAACGTATATACTGTTATCTATTACCATGTTATAGATATTTATTAATGTGTTTAGGATAGAAAAATTGTCACTATGTGTAGCATTGTGCACGCATCTCCGTCGCCGCTTGCCCCGTCTTGTGCCAAACCCAGAAAAAGTTCACCCGCATTCAACAAAAACACATTGACAACCACCCGAAAATTGAATCAGATACTTAACCGAGAATATATATAAACAAGAGCAACCAACTGTTATTGTTTATATACCATGTTTGTACAACTAGTAATGTACCAATGTGTTATTATCGTAAATGGTGTAAAATTTCATTTCTTTTGTTCGAAACGAAACGGAGTGTTTTTCTGTTTAGGTGAGATGCGAGAAACAAAACAATGCGAATGAATTTTACTCATCGCGATGACGCGAATGTTTCTGTTCTGGAATCTCCGATGATTTGCGCTTGTATCACTTAATCTAAACATGCACGTTATACATGTAACATGTCAGGTGCGACACGGAGTAGGAACACACTCATTGCAATGAGTACACGCGCGCTGTTTTATTTATGAATTAGTTGATGATGATGATGATGCTGGTGGATGAGTAATGTTTCATCATATAACTTTTAGATCATTTAAGCAAATTGTTTGAGATTCTGTCTGTTGTACAATTAATAATTAGTGAATACTAACGATAAGTGCAATCATATTTGTGAGGAAAATGAGAAACAGTGAATAAAGAAAAATCAAATTTGATTTTCTTGCGATTTGCTGGAGTTTGGGTGTAAAGTTTGGTTATGTTATGTTGCAAATTGAAGAAAATGTATGTTTTCGGGGGTTTATTGCTTTAAAACGCAGGTTTAAGCATAAAAATCAATGTTTTGCTTCATAAAATTAATTCTACTGCGTTAATTCTAATAATTATGTTGTTTTTGTGTTACTTTTTACTTTAAACGCGGATTTAGATACAAAAATCGCTATTTTTCTTCAAAAAAAGCTTTTATTTAGTTTTGTTTTTAAATTTCTGCGACTATCTTGTAAAAATTCAGGTTTATTGCGTTTATTATTCATAATTATGTTGTTTTTATGTCATTTTTCACTTTAAAACAAACAAAAATCTCTATTTTACTTCAAAAACGTGAAATTTTCTCAAAAGAATTCAAAAATTCATAGAATTTACTAATTTTTATAATTTATTTAACAAATTTTACAATATTTTTACTCTGTACATTAATACCAATATGTTTTAGGTGGAGTTCCCTCAGCTTTAACCCCCATACTCTCCAAAATATCCATTTCGAAAGTTTTGAGAGCTGGTTGAAAAGTTATTGCTGAAGCATCATCTGCCAAAGTATCTTTAGCTTGTTCTTTATAAGATTTCTTTGATTTATAATCAATTGTCTCTTCCATAGAAGCTGGCACAGGAATAATCCTTCCAGACCTCAGCGATACTCTCACTTTTTCACCCTCTTCAGTATATCGCCACTCAATTGGCGTGGATTTCAAGTCTGATGGATCAACTAATGCTACTTCAGTGGTGACAAGCAGTGGCTGTTCTGTTTGGATGAATACACCAGCAAAATTCTTATCTTCTGCCAGTGATTTTAATTTGGTGTTTAGTCCCTCTACGATCACCCAATTTCTTTCTTGGATAATTTCGCGGACGTAACCATGTTTTCCCTTGTCTTTTCCGACGAGAATTTCAACGCGATCGCCCCTGAAGAAGCTCCATTCTTTGACTGGTTCAATGAAAATTTTAGAACTGTATCTTCCCGGTTGATTATCTTGTCGGAATGCGAATGTCCATGGTCTATGCAAACCAAATTTGAACTTTTTGCGTTTTATTTCGGCGTCTGGTTTGTATTGGATGCCTTTTGGATTGCGCCAATATACTTGATTCATTGTGCGTTCGATGTATCTGTCGGGTAGGTTGGCATATTGTTTGGACCATTTTCCGACTCTCTGTAAGAGAAGATTTGTTAAACGCATTGTAAAATTATTTATTATTACTCCACCGGGGAAGAGTATTATTTTCTGAGGTTATGTTTAAATTTCTAGTAATTTCTAGTGATTTCTACTTTATTTGAATGTAGTTCGGACAGTTGTGTCCAGGGGGCGCTTGTATGTAGATGTTGGCGTAAAATTGTAACCGTCCATTATTCGTTTTGTGCTGTTTGAACAAGTCGCGCACCGTGCGCGTTACTTAAGATAAGAAACTTTAAAGTTGATTCTAGAGGACACTAGGTCGCAAAAACACGCCAAAACTTGTCTGCAGCATGTGTGTAGTTGTATGTAAGTGTACCGCGAGTGCATCAAGTCGTATAGATGTGTTCGAGAGTTGGCGAGAAAAAAAACATGGCGTGAGTATTTATCGTATTTGAACACAGATAGCCGTTGATAATTCGCGACAATCTTACTAACAAAATATCGATACTTGCATGTCTCGTGCAGTTTTATGTTTACAAACGAAATATTGGATTTGATTTTATTTCATTTCATGTTCTTTTAACTAGTATTTTTCCGTGGAAATATTTACACACGTTAGAAATGAAAACGAGTGATGTGTGTAATGCGTATGGATTGTGGTAGCATAAAAAGCGATTATAGAGAATCTGTCATCTGTAGTGTCGGAGTATTGAGCCTGTCACAAACAAGGATTTTCCTCCGGCGTCGCGCGCGAAAAGCGTTGAAAATCCCTCTCGAAATTCGACTTTTGACAGAGCACTTAGCATCCACCTGCAACCCAACACACTACCTGCACTACATTGATCCGCGTGAACTTTCCGATAAATTCATAAAACTTTTCCGAATACGAAATCCACTTCGGCATAATTACAATAAAAAGCGACGCAATAAAAACCGAGGGTTTTTGTTTCGGTCTGGCGGTAAATTAGACGCGGCAGAGATGAGCATTTATATATCGATCAATCAGTGAAGGCATAAATATTCGATGAGGACGTCGAACTTGCCATTACTAGGCCACTTTTCGTTCATTAAACGAAACGTTGAAGAGCGTTTTTTGTGTTTCAACACGGCGTGCGGGCGTCTGCTTTTCGGAGAGGCACGAAAAAAGTCATGTCAGGTTCAGAAACGCATTTAGCATCGATTTTCTCATAATATTTAATGATATTTGAACGACAAACTCCGTATAACGTCAAAATATGTATCAATCGGTTGGTTTATATTAATTTCTTCTGGGTAATGACGAAAAATATTTTAATTCCTAGCAATTATGAGATAGAATATTTTTTTAAATAGGTACATGACATCGATGGTAACATTTGAAATATTGTTGTAATTATGCAACCCAACATTCCTATAAATTGCAATGCAAATTTCTATAACTTAAGCACGATTTTTCAGCTAATTTGTTAACATAACATCCCTACTAAGATTATAAATGCGAAAGTTCTGATGTTTGTTACACTTTCACGCAAAAACTACATAACAGATCATCATGAAAATTTGTACACATATTCTTAGTGGTCCCCGAATGGTTATAGGCTACTTTTTATTTAATAAAAAAAATTATTTTTTAAATAAAATAAAGAAATTGTTTAGCCTATAATACCTCTGCATCTGGCTATTTGACTACTTTAACGCCATCTAGCATTCCAGCAATGAAGCTCAAACCTAAGTACTATAGTACCATCACACTGTATTTTCACACTGTATTACCGACAGCTACGTCAACATCAAATCCAATTGACTACACTATGGAGACTGTACACTATACTTCCATAGACTATACTTTCAGCCATTTTAAACTTCCAGCCATTCTACTTCATTGTTACTTCTTCCACGACTACAGACGCGTACGGAAGCAACTTCATTGTTTTAGATATTCGCGAACGAAGCCGCTAGTATGTGAATAAATCTGAGCGACGCGGAATTCATATATTATTTAGACTTTAGGAAATATTTACCGGCATTTTTTCAAGAGTAATTGAGTTAATAACCAGTTTACAAAAGATTAAACGGTTGCCTAACAGCGTAAAATTTCAATATTTGTTTTTTTGTTCCTCGATGTATAGACATGTTATATATGGAAATTGGGTAGTCTAACTTGGCAAAGACAACATTTTTTTGCGCAGACACATTATACAAACATGGCGAATGCCAAGAAGCTGCACCCTCATAATAAAAACAGCTATTAAATGCATCTACGACATGTTTATGATAGAAATAGTCAATCGTGACTCTTGGGAATTTTAATTTCGATTTTTAATTGTAAATGTTTGCAAATTTTCCCGCCGACAAAGTTTGCACATCATTTCCGTTCTCCTCAATGACAATCATGACAATGAAAAATGATTTCGTCTGTTGTCTGTTTCGTCTGCTAAATATCTCATATGTGGTTCACGACAAAAACTTTTCACACCAAGTGTTTACAAAATATCTATTTTTATCAATTAAAAATCTTGGGAATCAATATAATGAAAAATAAATAAATTGTTAGGAAAAAATTTATGAAAAACTAAAAAATTATTGATTTTTTAAGTGTAATAATTAATAAAAGGGCAATATGCACACTTTACACCCTGATTTTATGCGAGTGCGGTGTTAGACTGGAGACAAATTGCGATTTGAATAGAAAACGGATCCGCCATGTTCGGTATACGCGTTTGTATTTTGTGTTTGTCGAGAAAACCGTATGCAAATCCTGCGCCATTCACTGCGGACAGATCACACAGAAGTTTACTCAACATGTGCATCAAACACGTCAACGCTGCAACAATTCGGATGAAATGCATCACGGGGTGTGTCATTTTCCAAAAATTTATTTGCACCAAGAAACAATCAAATTACACATCAGAAATTATATCAGAAGCAATTAAATTGAAAAATACCGGTATTTGAAAACAAAAAAATACCGGTATTCATACCGGTATTTTCATTTTATGATATTAATTTGCATATTTTTTAAAAATTTTGATTTTAAAATTAAAAATATCGATAATTCCAAAATAAAAATACCGGTATACCGGTATTTCCCACAAAATTTGCTGTTTCTCAGCCCTATTATAAAAAAAAAACAAGTTTTTATTAAGCGCAATTTAATTGAAAAATACCGGTATACCGGTATTGATACCGGTATTTTCATTTTCTTATATTATTTTTCGTATTTCTTAAAATTTTTAATTTGAAAAATGATAATATTGATAATTCCAAAATAATAATACCGGTATACCGGTATTTCCCACCACATTTGCTGTTTCTCAGCCATATTATAAAAAACAAGTTTTTATTAAACGCGTTTAAAATGATTAAGTTATAATTAACACAACAGATAAATTTCTAAGATGGTAAAGTTTTCATTTATTCATTTAAATTATCGCGATGTCGGATCTCGGCGCAGTCAAAGCAGGAATCTCTTGTAACGGATATATAGGTATGTAAAAGGTACCAGTTGCCCATGCAGAACACGATTGCTTCTTGCCTTACATTCCAATTCCATTTGTTTCGATTATTTATGCGCTTCTTGTTACGCTACAGATAAATCAATTTCTAATCGCCATTGCATTCAGAATAAACATAAATTACATTTATTACACATACATTTACTATTTTCCGAATTACTCGCAAGATAAACGCAATATTTAAAATATCTCTTCAATTGTGATTGTAATTGATCAGTGTACCAAATTTGGTGGTGATTGGTCGAGTAGGTCGCGAGTAACACGCAAAAATATACTAAATCGACGTGATAAGCATCGAATGCGCAATGATTTTCGGTGCGTAGGTATTCGCAGCGCGTAATTTATGTGGCGCTTGCTGGTTTCACCTCTACACCGGCGAAATCCTCACGATTCGCCGATGAATTGCCGCATATAACATAATTCACTACATCGGTACACACTGTACGCATACAATCGCATTCGTCGGTAGTAATAAATCGAGGAAAAAAAGGTGTTAACGATGGCGCACATTTCAATACGCGAGCGCGAACAACTGTTCGATATTTATACGTTTTATATGCGAACACCATATGGATGCCAAGGATATAGCATGCACCGGAGTACGTACGCTCCAGATGCCGTGTGTATCCTTTGTGCAGGCATGCGAAAAGCTTGTCTGGTACCCGACCAGATACACGCTGCTGGAAACACGCAATTTTGTGGTTGGATATTTCAATTATTCCAAATATTTTTGTATTATTAAATTTTGGGTTTTGTTATTGGGGGATGTGAGAAACCGGTATCAATATCGGTATACCGGTATTTTTTATTTTTGAATTATCGGTATTTTTACCTTTGAAAATTAAAAAAATTAAAAATACCGGTATTGATACCGGTATACCGGTATTTTTGATTTAAAAAACCGGTATTTTTCGATATTCAAATTCCAAAGTTTAAAATTTTAATTTTTTATAAATACCGGTATTTTTTATTTTTGAATTATCGGTATTTTACCTTAGAAAATTAAAAAATTAAAAAATACCGGTATCAATACCGGTATACCGGTATTTTTGATTAAAAAACCGGTATTTTTCGACATTCAAAATTTTATTTTTTTATAAATACCGGTATTTTTTTACCGGTATCATCCATAAAATACCGGTATTCAGCTCAAAATTCATGTTTTACACGCAAATACTGGTATAATTTGTAACAAAACGCCACATCAGAAATATTCTCTGTTTGGCTGACAATAAAAGGAGCATCATCAATTTTGTGTTGCACACGCCGACAAGAAGTGCGGTGACGTCAAGTCGGAGAAGATGTGCGCTGCGTCGGGTTGTCGTGTAACCGCAATAGACTTGTCCGCCGCCCGTTTTTATCTTGACTTTTTATTGTTGAGACACTCAACGAGTTTACAAAGGGTGTTGTACAAGGACGTTCTGTTTATCGCGGCGCGGGCGAACCCTATCGGGTGTGTGACTTCACGCCTCCTCGTGAATAGTTTCGAGAATTTTACGGCGTTATCTTAATTTATTATTTAATTACGCTGTTTTTTATCACTCGGTATTTATACTGTCAATTAATTGAACTCGGACTTTCTTTTCGTAATTAGAAATATGATTCGTGGGAATTGATAAGGAAAGGATATTAATTTTTCAAAAAGTAATAATTTGTTTGCATTATGAACAAATATTGTTTGGTTGAAGATATTTTGCAGTAATTGTTGGTTTAGTTGATAAAATATTAAATTTTTGTTTGAAATTTTTGAATTTCGCGCTGAAAACGTTAAGGTTATGTGCAGAAAATGGCAACATTGGTTGTAGATGTGACGTCAGTGCTGTGTGTTCGCTCTGATTGGTTATCTGTCAATTTTAACGGTTTTCGTCTTTTTTATTGAAATAATCATCAAATTTGCTTCAAATAAAGTAAAAACGCGTGTTTTGCATTCTATAACTCAAATCCTTTAAAATAAATACATAATTTAAGTGATTTTAAGTAAAAAAACTTTGATTTTGCATACATTTTCTTACATTTTTCAATATTTTGCGTCTGCAACCCACCATACACGAAACACACGCTCTTAAAATCTACGCAAATGCGGTTGTTGATTTTGAGTCTTCCGTTCGTATCATAATGATTTATCCCGCCGCAGCAGCAATGCAGGCCCGATGACAAGAGAGCATGGCCCTCGCGCGTTCGGTGTGTGTCCGCACCAAAAACCGAAACTCTGCCGCGTGTGCCCGCCGTGGCGCTTGCCGGCTGGCGCTCACTCGTTCGTCCGGCACGTCGACGTTCAGTTCGTTCGTTGTTCAGTTCGCTCGGTTCGCGAGTAGCAACGCGTGTGCTGCGCGAGAGATCTCAACCCTTGTGGTGCGGCTGCACGACCCGCAGCGTCGCAACGACCGTCGTCGCGAACGCAACACTCGCGGATTTTTCGCGTCGCGTCGCCGCCACCGCCGCCGCCGGCTAGTCGCCGGGCATAAAATTAATAAAACACGTTTAGTGCGTTACCTATACTCATCAATATCACAATATCACAACCGTAAAACGGACACGTGTGCTTAAATCTACAAAAATCGCGTAAACAACATTCCATTGGATTGATAACAACATCTCAAACATCTAGCAGGTAAAAATATTCAATGTTTGTAAATATAAATTTAAAAAGATTTAAAAATCATGCGAAATTTTAAGAAATTAAATAATTTTTTAATTTACAACAAAATTTTTGTTTATTTTTCATAATTTTTTAGCTTTCTAATTGTTTAAATTGTACTTAATGTATGTTAATGCATTCGTGCTTGTGCGTGCGGTGCGCGGTGCAAATAACGCACGTGGGTTGTTAAGAATCTTTGTTTTTTCTCGCCATTACCACGACACTCGATCCGTTTAGTTACTCTGCGCTAACCTGACGCACGCAAATTGCACCGGCGCCTTGTCGCTGTAATAAAATCATCGTTTATTGAAGCGTTCCTCACTGACCACTGCAATAGGTGCGATGGCAATTTATGACTGACGACTATTTAAGTTGATTTGTTGACCGCTGTACGCGAGTAGTACCTATGCGAGACGACTAACGACCCAACACGTAGGTACGTGAATCGTTATTGGATCATCTCGCAGGAGAGTAGACAGTAGTTGGGCGACCCGCAATGCATGCGCCTGTAAATTGGACTTAAATTGACGCGTAAGTCAATGCGCGCGCGGCCTGCATCTATGCATGCGTACATTTGTTATAAATGGGAAAATTATAGGTTGGCATTTGAGGTATAAATCTAGCGAGATGTCGCATGGGATGATTATTCGCGGAGTAATTTTAACATCGTTTACCATATTAAGGAAAGGCGCCGTTTATTTTTCTATCGCCGATGGCGCATCGCGCAGGCGCAGTTTGAGAAATTCGTGGAATGTGGTTTAATCATTATATTTCTATTTCTATGACAGTTTCATATAAAATTTTATGAAAAAACATAAAAAAATGATTTTTTTCTTTAAAAAAAACTCTGGAAAACATTTATTTTGTTGATTAAATAAAAATCGTGTTGATAGGGTTGCGGTTTCTGTCAAAAAATATCAATGTTAGGTATGCAACCCACAATACACAATTTTTGAGTGTATCCCTTTTGAAACACGCTCTTAATCACATTTTGTGATTTTATTTAACTTCAAACGAATAAAAATAACTTTTTATAATTGAAACGTGATTGTGACATGTCCTGTTACATAAAAGATTAATTTGTCTTTTTTTAAAAACTTTTTAACTTTACACGCGTGTAAAATACAAAAACATTTTTCTTAAAATAAAATTTCTAGTTAATATCGTACTCAATTACAATCCTGATTTGAATTCTAATCTGGAAATAGAAGATTTCATCATGACGTTGAGGGAGTTGTAGATTATTATCGAACCGGGGCGCAAAGGGGTACAAGCGAGAAGAAATGACATCCTGCGCGCCACGTCTTCCAACATTATGCTTTCCGGGCATCAGATGTGTTTAATATTACTTCTGCTATGCAAATATCTTGAATGATCCTGTACTAAAGCACACCTTTGCCGAGGGTTGCGCCATTCTCATTTGCGTATGGAAAACGCCGCTTGTAATATCACGGTAATTATTTGTCAGCAGAAATTTGGTTAAATTTCGATGAAAAATGAAATATTATTGAGTATGCGAGTTTATATCCAAGAAAATGATATGATAGGATATATTTTGAGGCGGTTAAAGTGTTAAACTCTTCAAAAAGTTTTTATTTTGTTGATGAAAAATAATTATATAGATGGCGGTACTTGTTTCTGTCCCTAAAATGGCCAATTGTTAGGTAGGCAACCCATAATACAAATTAATTGATTTTGCAAGCAGAAATTTGCTTAAATTTGGTTAAAAAACGTAATAATTTTAAGTATGGGAGAAGATATTGAAGAAAATGATATGATATGATATGATTTTAAGGCGGTTTGAGTGTTAAACTCTTAAAAAGTTGAATTTTGTTGATGAAAAACTAATTATCTAGATGGGGTTACTTGGAGCTGCAATAAAATGTCAAAACTTACGTAGGCAACCCAAAATACACATTATTTGATTTTACAAGCAGAAATTTGCTTAAATTGGGTTAAAAAACGTAATAATATTAAATATAAGAGTACATATCGAATAAAATATGATTTACGAGATGTTTTTCTATGACATGTACTGAGTAAACGTGAAAATGTCTCACTTGAAGGCGGCTCAAGTGTTCTACCATCGTAAATTATAAATTTTCCCCACGCAGAGGCGTATGAAATGTTACACATTTCAATATACTGATGGACATATTTCTTGCGAGATACCCCACAACCCTCTACATTTAGTATTTACGTCAGGTTTCCAAGCGGAAAACAAGCAGCGATCACATTCGAAATAATTGCGCCGCTTTTCAGCTACTTGCGCGAGAAATCGATGCGCGCTAATAGCGTGTGCACACTTTTCGCACGCCGTTTCGGAAAAAATGCGCACTATAAAAAACGAAAAGTTGGCGCGGCGTGCACAATTTGCTCTTCTCGGCCATAAAAGCAATGTGTGTGCATGCTGCTGCTGCTGGCGCCTATTCGTCGATGCGCCAAGACATCTCTCGACCGAGTTTCTGATGCCACGGATGCTGGTGTTGGTGTTGGTTGCTCTTGCTCGGTTTGTTTACCTAGCCGCGCGGGCGCTGGCTGGGTTCTATTCCATTGCTACTTTATGCAAATACACCCTAATGATAATCATACCCTTGCACACACACCCACACACGCGCGCCCAATTTATACCCGCACTTCGAGGTGGAGTACACACCGGAATACACTCGAGTGTGATAATTGCCAGTTAGCTTTATAATATTACTTATTGTTATTGTTATGTAGGGTTTCGAAACTGTAACGAGACTTGGCAATACGGAGTTGGGTAGGAATGTATTCAATTTGCAATATTTTTACTTCTAAAATTTTACATTTTTTAAAATATCTTCGAAAATATTAACAGCACATATACGCTAGTAAAGTATCTACCTTAGCGCCGCCTCGTGGCTTATTTCTTAAATAGTGAGATCTGAAACCTTGAGTACCATATGTTATATATATACTAGTTAACCGGGCAAACGTTGTTTTGTCATATAAATTATTTCTAGTTTCTAGATAAATTTTAGTGTAGACAAAGAGTAACTTACTTATTATAAGTGTGTAAGTATGTAAAACTTGATTAACTGAACTAATAGTGCCAAATACACTTAAAATTATAATGTGGTATTAAAAAATACATACAACTCTAAATATTTACTTTTTTATCACCAACCCCTATATTTTTAAAGCCATTTTGGTAATTTAATTTTTTTTCATCCCGCTCGAAGGAATGAGACTGAAGCCGGTCTTCTTTTTCACTCACACAATAAGACTTCTGTCACACCCTACACAGTTTTCGGCCATCATTATGGTATACGTATCAAGTGTAGTAAGTAACGTTTACAGTGGTTAACAACACTTTTGCGATTCATTTTTATATTATAGATTACTATTTTATTCATAATAATAAAATTATTCATTTTAAGTGTATTTGGCACAATTAGTTCAGTTAATTAAATTTTTCATACTGACACACTTATAATAAGTAAGTTACTCTTTGTCTACACTAAAATTTATCTAGAAACTAGAAATAATTTATATGGCAAAACAACGTTTGCCCGGTTAACTAGTATATATATAACATATGGTACTCAAGGTTTCAGATCTCACTATTTAAGAAATAAGGCACGAGGCGGCGCTAAGGTAGATACTTTACTAGCGTATTTGGGAAAAACATTAGCATCTTAAGAATTTAATTCTTAATCTTTTCTATAGGGTAGTTTAAAAAAATTAAATTGTTTTGAATTTTAATGCAAAAAACAAAAATTTTCAGAGCTATTCAAAAAGCGCGTGTTCGGCAACACATTGTACACCTAACTAAGCACAATAAATGTCAAAATTTGTTTATTTAAAAAAAAAACAATTATTTTAATAAAAAATAACAAATGCGGGTTTTCAACCCCAACACTTCCAATAATTATCAAATAAACACATTATTCTAGTAATATTAATCAATAAATCACTAACCAATAATTATCTAAGGGTTGAAACCCTCATATTAAAAATAATAACCAGCATATATCTTAATTATAAGATCTATGATTTTCCATGATTAAGAAACATTGTTTTCGAAGTTGTTGTTAGTGCTCACATTGTGATTCTAGCTGATGGTAGCGTAACAGTAAGACATTTTCATGTTCACATTGTTCCTCTACGCATACACACCACACAAGGCACACAACAGTGTTGTTTTTCCACGATTTTCATGCTTCGACTCGCGAATGTACGGGGCAGCTGCGCGTGTTAGCGTTTCGGTGATTAGTCTCGAACAGGGAATTTTAATTACTGGCCTGTCAGCGCCAGTGGTGGAAATCGTACACACCGCGCGCGCTTTCACACTGCACCCACTTACATAGCGGAATTATGAGAATACATTCATCCGTAGCATAAAGCAAACGTAAATAATAAATTAAAACCGAAATAAGAACCCGAAACACAAAAAAAAACACAACAGAACTGAACAGATTTTTGTCCATTAGAAACGAAAAGCTTATTTCATTGAGAACTTTAACATTAGTTTCTCATTTTCGCGGTCGATAAGCAGTACAGGCACTAATGCGCCAACATGAAGAAAAAAACCCGGCTGAAAACGTGCTGTACTGTTGCGGCAAATGGGGAAAAATTGCCGCTGCTACTTCCAGGCACGTTTTCATTTAAATTACCTACCTACAACTCGACAAAAGTATAAAATATCAATACAAATATGAAAAAATGAAATAATTTTATATTCATATTCATATTAACAAAAAATTCATTGTTATTCACCGAAATGATATTCATTGTTATGTAAGAATTTGTCATATACCCTTGCTCACACAAACACCACAACCACCCGTGGCGACGATGATGAATTATCAAAACCAGAGGGTTTCTCGCAATGCGTGATGTTTTTTTTTACCTGCGATCAAGAAGCGAATAAAGTAATTGAGTTGCACAAAAGGCCGCGACCACCCAACACACACCTGAACGCACATTGTGATGTGAATTATACGCTTTGGAACGTGTAGCACACACTTACCACGGTTTGATGATGGGGGAAAGGCTTCATCGGAGCAATTGACGGCCGAGAGTGAGTGTACACGTGCGTAACAGCCGTGTATAATTACATATCATTAAAATCAATTAAATTCAAAGAAGTTAATTAGTGTAGGTACCAAAGTGGAATTTATTTATGAATAGGTCAAATGTCTTTAGGGCATGCGACATGTTATTAAATTTATTAAGATGTTGTTTTGATGTTACTCCAGACAAAAGTAAAAAAAAAAATGGTTTTTGGGTTAAATTTTGAAAAAATTGATTTTTTTGAAAATAAGTGAATAGATATTATTGGGAATTTGATTCTTAAGAAGTTAGTGTTTTTTCAATTATGTGCGTTTAATATTTTCGGAGATATTGGACTAAAGTACTTTAGTCACGGGTTTTAGTCACCATTTGCTTATGCTTTTGAAATAAAAATTCAAATACAAAAACTAAACGTTGAAATAAAGTGAAAGTAAAAAATTACATAAACGATGTGATGCTACACGTTGTTAAAGTGCCACTTAGCGCACTTGATATTTAATATATATTTTTGTGAATAGATATGATTGGGAATTTGATTCTTAAGAAGTTAGTGTTTTTCTGAATTATGTGCGTTTAATATTTTCGGAGATATTGGACTAAAGTACTTTAGTCACGGGTTGGAGCTTGCACCAGCGCATTTGCTTACGATTTTGAAATAAAAAGTTCAAATGAAAACACTAAACGTAGAAATAAAGTGAAAGTAAAAATACGTAAGCATCACATCGTTAAACGTTGTTAAAGTGACACTTAGCGCACTTGCTATTTAATATACATTTTTTTAATCAATTATAGACAAAAATTTATTTAGTTTTATTTTTTTAGTCACAATTCCAATGTTCAAAGTGTCGTAAGTCGTAACTCTTTATTATTATTATTTTAAAAGAAGCAATTTGGTATTTAAATTACAATCGGGCGAAAGTTTCGCGTCTCGACGATGCAAAGTTAAAAACAACCATGTCTCCACGCCGCGTGACGACTCCGCGCGCGCCCCGGAAAGAACTTCCCCACTGAGGGGATGGATGTAAGTGAGTTCTGGACCCTCAAAAGGATTCGTAATAGTAATGGCGCACGAGCAGGCGGATTGTGTAAAACGCGGCGCGCAACTTGAAATAACTTTTCAACGTTTCAACAAGCGTTTAACAAGATAATGAGATTAGAATTTACATACTAGACTTTTACCTGCGTCGAAAGATTTCCAAAGTGAATACAAGTGAATACACAATTTCGGTAACACATTGCATTGAAATGATGAGTGTATAAATAGAATTTGACACTTTATTAATGTTTCACTTGGGCGTGATAAACGATCCCACTCATCTGATGTGTTTATTATTTTAGGTTATTAATTAAATCCGGAGCGTATTGCGTGCGTGCGCGCGCGGGCAAATCATCTTCGTTTCTTCGTTTTGTTTGTTTTCGCAAAGCCGGAGATGAATAATTGGTCGTGTACGTGATTTCCTATCTAAGTTCTAAGCGATCAACTTAATTGAGAGCGTTTTGTTTGTTTTCATTTCGCGATACACTTTGTATATGTTTAGTAATATATTTGCACGCAACACTGCAGTAAAACGCGATGCAGGCGAGTTTTTTTTTAAGAAAAATCTAGTTGAATAATATTGTAGAATTTTTGGTGCAATAAAAACAATTTTCACATTTTGCGCGCAACGAAATCGATAACACATAATCACCACATTTGCTGCGATTGCAGACATGATTTATTGCTGTTTGTACAAATACAGATACTGTTTGTGTACAAAAAAGATGCTGAAGTACCGATAAAATAAAATCAGTTCAATAAATTCCGCTAGAGGGCGTTGTGTGGTGTAAAACACTAAAAAATGATTTTCGTTTTATATTGTCGTGTTGCTATTGTGTGTAATAATAATATGATTTTATCTCGATTTATATTTACAAGAAATATGACTGTTTCACGTGCGGCATGCTCACTACGCGATAGTTTTCTACGTGCGCAATGCGCATGCGCCGCGAATGTCTTTATTGAAAGCTTTCTGATAAGAAAAAAAAAACCCAACGAGCTATTTCGACATTTATGAGCGTATTTGTGTGACGGGGACGGGGATGAGACCCAATCGAAAAGGGTAAGTTTTCTTCAGTTTTCTTCACTCGCGTGCGCCTGCGAGAAAATCGATCAAAATTTTCGAATAACGAATAACGAGCAGCGAATAAGGAAATTAAAGTTTGCGCCCGAGGGGTGTTTTAGCACTGTGCGCGTTTCTTCAACAATACTCGGCGCGCATAACTCATACAATTCACGTCGACGACTCGTCTCTCGTTGCTCAGGACTGCCAGATTGAGTTGATGTGCGCGCTCGCGCTGCTTTTTATCACTCGGAATGATCTAGAAGTTTGCTATTAACTTGTTTTGGCAGTGGCGAAACTGGCGCTAAGCACGACGCCCTACTTCACGCGATATGCTTGTTACAATTGTCTCGCAATATTATCACAAAAAATCGGAGAAAATTTATTCGGCGCGCGGATTTGAGTAATTAGGCGTTGTTTTGAGAGCTGAACAAGATAAATATGCGATCCAATTAGGGTCGTGTCGTGTCGTTGTGTGGGCGCGATGTATTTGGGAGATCTGAGCATGCCGCCACTTAACAAAACCAACAACATGCAATTGTCGCTAATCGCCAGCCGGATGCTTTGATTTCGCCTCCAAAACAAATCAATCTACAACTCTGGCTCTCTGTTTTTTTTTCGGTTTTAAATATTCAGTTGGATTTATTTTGTTTTCTTGTGGATAACTAATTGGTACGCAATTATTATTGATGAAACATGCATAATATTGTTAATTTATCGCTGACATCGCAGCGTTTCGCATGGTATCACGTTTCATATATAAACTGTGTTCGTTAATTAATTGCGGGCAATTTTTGCAGGAGGAATGCAGAGCCACGACTAGTTGCAGCGCAGGTCGCAGTCACTTAAACGTAAGTTATGACACCTTATATCCTTCAAGCTCTCGTTTTCATTTTTAATTCGGTGCGTCGCTTCGCATATTCATGATATTTAAATGATTTACATGTCTTCGCGGCGGTTTCAACGTGTTACGGCACTTAATGGATATGCCCGAAAGCACAATGCGGAATTAATTAATTCGCACATTAGCGGCGACACTCAAAAACGTTTATTTTTCATTTAATTTATGTTGAAATTGTTGTTTTACAAAAATAGAATGTATATGAGTTGGCAGTGGTAGGCAACACATTATACACTCAATGTTGCACAATTGAGGTTATGATGTTGTAGTATGCTTTGTTTTGATTGGCAGTTTATAAATTTCGTCGTTTTTTGCGTGAAACAATTTCTCATGTACAAATTAGTTTAACCACGGCATATTTTCTGAATACTTAGCTGATTTCCGCGTGAAAAATGAACTTTCGTATACGTCTCCGGTAACAGATACTTTAAAGAGCTTACTCCGTGATTTATTAAAGACATTAAAGGCTTTACTTGTTAGGCTGCGTGGCGTAGCGATTCTGATTCGATTTTTTTATTATTTCCTGCAAATTCTATTAACTCATCAAAGCAAAGCGAAAGAAAATCAAAGAAGAGTTTGGTTGGAATTGCGTGTGTGGCTGCACGCAACGAAAGTAGGAGATATGGTCGCGCTTGCGGTTGGAATAAAAGTGAAGCGATATGTTTTCAAGATGATGAATGTATCCAATATGTTGGGGCTGGAATCCACCATCCACCACCCTGCGATATGAAAATCGCTCCATCGTTTTGAGCGCCGCTGAAATACGATACACGACTGCATACATCATCCGGCAATCTGCGCGCATGGTTGCCTACTTTGTGGGTGCCTAAAAAAACGCGTTACTTATGCACTACAACACTAGCGACGACATCTATGGCAAAATGCGATAACAGTACTTACTACATTATTCACTAAAGATTTATTGGCGTGAAACAATGAAAAATATGTGATAATTTGTTTAAATCAAAGAAATTTAATGAGAAAATGAAAGTTTTGATGTCATACGACACTAGCAACACAAGAAAAACGTGTATTATCGGTTGCATACTTTAAAAAAATCAGTGGCGTAGTAAGTTGACACTAGAACTTCAAAGAAACATGAATATCTAGGAAATTAACGTTAGAAATAAAGAAATTTCGCGTTAATTGGTTAATATTAAATAAATTAAATGACGAATTGAAAGTTTTGATGTCATACGACACTTTCAACACAAGAAAAACGTGTATTATTGGTTGCATAGCTTAAAAAATCAGTGGCGTAGCAAGTTGACACTAAAATTTCATTAAAACATGAATATCTAGGATATTAACGTTAAAAACAAAGAAAAATCCGCGATAATTGGTTAATATTAAATAAATTAAATGACGAAATGAAAGTTTTGATGTCATTTGACACTAGCAACACAAGAAAAACGTATATTTTTGGTTGCATACCTTAAAAATCAGTGGCGTAGCAAGTTGACACTAAAACTTCATTAAAACATGAATATCTAGGAAATTAACGTTAGAAACAAAGAAAAATCCGCGATAATTTGTAAAAATCAAATAAAACCTTGCTCTAGTAACCTATAAATAAGCGGCAGTAAATTATTAGCTCCCCTTTGACGAAATGAAAATCGCTCGGCGTCCGCGCGTCGCAAAAAAGACCGGCGTCAGTAAGTCAGCGATTGTAATGCAAAGCGGTCACGGGCTGTCATCGGCGCGCTGGATTTTCGGTGTACAATGCAGGCGCGCGATGAAATGAGTCGGGCTCATCTGGCTCATCTGCGCGACGGCCGGTAATTGGATTCGACGCGAGGTCGGAATAATATTATCACTGCCATTAAGGGAGAGCTCGAAATTTTCGGTGGCAAAAAAATTGAAATCGTCTAATCCGATTTGTGCGCGTTGCGTAAAAGTTTAATCCCGAAAAATCTCAAACAAATGGATACATTTATCTAACGCCCCTCACGAAAATGAAAACAAGGTAAAATATTTTTTGGCATTTTGTAATCATTAGTTAATTTCAACGGACATTTCAATTAAACATTCCTAAATGGACGCACTCATTAATGAAATGTTTGATAAATGTAAATCCGAAGCGAATAATTAAGCGATTTAGAAGATCTCGACGATGTCGACGCGTCATCAAGTTTTCTTATTATCCTGCTGAGAGTGCTTTCGTTTCCGAAAAAGCTTCTCGCTCTCTCGTGGCTTGTGTCTTGCGTTGTGTATCTGCGTCTTCATCTCTCGGCTGTACAACACGCTACTAATGTATCTGTTTAGTTGTGGGGCTTGATTGACGGTCGGCAAAGAAACAAGGAACACCTTTATTATCAACGCGCGGAACTTGCATTAAACGCTGGGCGCTGTGTTAATGTAAATAGATTTCGTCTGCTCTGAAATGTCTTAATGTAAATTTAATGCGTTTTTGGTTTTGTTTTTTAAGCGGGTAATTGATAATGATAAGGCTAATTTGTTTTCGGATTGTGTAAATATAATAAAATGTAGTTTTTTTCAACCGCGTGTGTGTGGATGTGGATGAGGAATTTTTAACAATTAAAGGTTCGTAGCCTACGGCAATAGGTTTTTTGGGAAATATGGTAATTAAATTTCAGTTTGTGTGGTCTAGTTTTAATCTAGATTTAAGAAAAAAACGAGTTTTTGTTTTAAAATTTAAAATTTTTGTTTTTTGTGTGATTTGTTTAAGTAAAAATTGCGATAACTTGGAAATAATAAAAGATAATAATGATTTTTCTTTTTCTAAAGATAGATTTTGGTTAATATTATAATATATCAAAACTTCAAATGTTTAACTTGTGTAGTTTAGTTAAAAAACGAGTTTGAAATTTTGAAAAATTTTACTTTTTTGCATTTTTTTTTCAAACAAAAATTGCGATAACTTGGAAATGATAAGAGATAATAATGATTTTTTAGTTTCTAAAGATAGATTTTGGTTAAAACTATAATATATCAAAACTTCAAATGTTTAACTTGTGTAGTTTAGTTAAAAAACGAGTTTGAAATTTTGAAAAATTTTACTTTTTTACATTTTATTTCCAAACAAAAGTTGCGATAACTTAAAAACTATAAAAGATAATAAAATAATTTCAACTCCTAAAGATAGATCCCTGAAAAAACTATAAACTATCAAAAATTTAAGAGTTTATCTTTTAAATTGTTTAAAATATTGACGAAAATAATAAAAATAATAGCCGTAAATAGCGTTTTAAAAAATTGGTTAACGCCATAGCCATCGACAACAACATTTAATTAAATCCGAGCGTTGGGTATTTTGATTAAAAAATTTCTTAAGTTGTCGCGCCCCCATCCGCGTCTTAAAACTTGCCGCTTTCTTCTCAAAAGTTGAGAGATCGGATCTCCACTCCGCGCGCGCGCCCGTTAACTATAGACTGATCATTTTTTTTATGATGCTCTCTTTTTACGTGTGACGGGCGCATAAAAGAGCGGAATTTCACCATGTCTCATTACACGCTCGCCTCAATACGTTCCGCAAGCGTGCAACCGCCGCCGCCGCTTTGTTTACCATCGACGCAAAGATTCCCCACGAACGCCCCGAGAAGATTCTGACACATTCCTTCCAGTGCATCTCAACGGACACATATTAATTACGCTTTTATGCGTCAATATTGCTAAATTTTAAATTTTTAACATTTAATTCAGAAAAACATGTTTTTGGGGTTTTTAAATAATTTTCTGGTGGTTTGGTTTAATTCGATGTTTACATACTCACTGTTTGTGAGAAATTTGTGAGACAAGCGACGAAGGAAAAGTTTGCGCAAGCTGGGTCGATTGTAAATTCATCACGGTCGGTGTCGCCGACATTTACATAAATAAATAAAGCCGAAATTCAACGTACGTCTAACGAGACGCCTGCACCAACCCATCGTGTTGGTTGCAATTTAGTCTGTCACCAATTAGAGAAATTCTAAAATCAACTTTTGCCGCTCTAGTGCGCTAAAATAACATTCAATCAATTTTAATGCGACGCAATTTATTTCGACAGCGCAAATAAATCAATTGATAATAAATCAAAAGAAATTAAGTGAATTTTTTGATTTAAATTTGATTCTTCGTGTCTTAATATTTACACACGGAATGATTTTTTTGTGTGCGCACGAAGTGAATCGAATGAAAGCTTTTTTTATGATGTCGCGAATAAAAGTGGAGACTTTTGTGCCCACGGTTCATTTAACAAATTTTCTTAACAATTAAAATGGCATATAACGGTAATCCGAATTCATTAAGTTAGCCAATCATGCGCGGATTTAATTCGCGTTTCATTTATAAGTAACTTGCGGGGAAACAAATTGCGCGCCGTGTGCCACGATCGGCAATAAATTACAAGTCAAATGAGCCTATTTAAAAAGCGATAAATAATAAAAGCGGATACACTCGTACTCGTACACTTCTTGCGCAGCGTTTGCTTGAGTTTCCAGTTATAGATGTGTACTTGAGTTGGATTAATGTAGTGGCAATCAAAGGCTTTCATTAATTACAACCGCATTATTAAAAGCTAATCTGTAATTTCATTTTTATTTGTCTTAAAGCTTAAAATTGTTTTCATTTTGTGTAAAAAGTAAGTTTTTATGCTTAACGACACGAGAAAAACGTGTATTTTAGGTTGCATATCTTAAAAAATCAGTGGCGTAGCAAGTGGGCAGTAAAATTTTAGTAAAACTTGAATATCTACAGAAATAATAGTCGTAGAACATCGGGAAAAGTACTAAATTATTAAGAAATTGATTGTTCATCTTTCGGTTTTCAAAATTTTTCAAATTTTTAAGAATTTAATACAAAAAACAGTTTTTTAGTGTTACTACTGATTGAAAATAGTAATATATGAGTAAATATATAGGTGTGATACTTGAAAAATGTATATTTTGGGTTGCATACCTCAAAAATCAGTGGCGTAGCAAGTGAATATTAAAATTTCAGTAAAACTTGAAT